GCTAAGATCCAGTCGTCCTGTCGTTGCGTTGCAGAATCCGAGGCGGCATCTGGGAATTCGGGGTTTGTTGGGTCGAGCCGCTGGGGTGGGACTCCTACCATTCGACTGTTGGTTTTTAAGTCGGCCGGGACGAAACCTCCTTGCAATCCGCTCACTGTCCCGGCCCTTGGTAGTTTAAATGGTCCGCGGTCTTCTGGGGACATTCCTCCGAGAAGTGTCCTGGCTGGCCACATGCATAGCAGTTGCCACGAGGTACCTGGCTCTTCACACCGTAGCGTCCGACTCCACTGTTCTGGTAACTCCGGCGGTCCTGGCCTGGGTAGGGGTCATAGAGCTGCCGAGGTCGTTGGGTTTGATCAGGGCGGGGTAAGTTCTCCGGGTGGGGGGCAGGAATAATAAAATTGACAAACCTACCCATCATAGACGCCATATTCTGCATCTGTGTCAGAAGATCACTTTAGAGACTCACCAATTGGTCGATTCGGGGGTCAGTGCCTGCCTGCTGTCGTCCCGAATTGGCCCCTACAAGTGGCAGCCGACTGTTTTGTCCACCAGCACTGCGGCTCGCCTCTGCCCCCTGCTCTGGTACATTCTCGGCCACTCTTTGGAAATGCAGCCTCTTTTTGGCCCGTGACGTCTTGTTGACTAGCTCCAGGTCTTGGGCCCGAGCAACGGCCTGAGCGAGGCTCCCCAAGTCTTCCCGTAAGAGCTGGTCTTGGAGCTCGACATCAAACAGCCCGTCGATGAGCTGCTCACGGCTCATGTCATCTCTAGCTTGGGCTCCGATGTTCACATTGGCTACAACGCCAAGGGACTGGACTCGTCTGGAGAACTCCGTAAGACCCTCCTTTTTGCCTTGCATCAGACTTTTTAACTCCGCTCGGGCGCCTGCGTGCGTCTGAAACGGCATCATCTTGTGATCGAGCTCGGCGAGCATCCTTGCCAAAGTTGGTGGTTCGAATCCCTCCAATTTTTCGCGGAATTGGGCTGGCATGCTGGTGAATTCGTCAAGTGCCCAACCCGTCAGGCAAGTTGGCAGGACCATCCGGGCTTGCTCGTCGTCCCACCGGTTCGCATCGGCCACCCACGCAAAGTGCTTCCTCCAGTCCGCCCAGTTCTGGTAGCTGCTGGACGGAAACCGGTCCGGACGTATCGCGCGAATCCGAACACTCCTTGCTGTCGGTCGAGGGCGTTTGCTGCCGCCACCGCAGCCTCTGCCATCAGTTGACGATCTAGGTCGTTCATCGCCATTGCAATCGTATTGTCTAGTAGTTGATCAAACGTATCGTTTCACGCAACTGTAGTCCAAAGAGCGCCCACCCAGGAGCGCCAATGTCGTCTTGGGGAATTTGACCGTTTAGACCCAATATATCCTTTCTTATTGTCCGCTAAGCCCCTTCCCTAAACACCAGAACCAGCAAGGGGTGAGCTGTGATCCGGTATTTGGCGACAATCCGTTCGGTTGAAAGGTTGAATTTGGTGGTCGATCGATGTACTACACTGGGTTGCGCCCCCTTTGCTCGATTGCTCTCGACTCTCGACTGTTCTCTTCCTCGGAAAGAATTGCAAGGAACTGGATAGTAATTGAATTGAGAGATAAATAAATAAATAGCCGAGTATAAGGACCACTAGGTGTCCTGAATACAATCTATTAAGTATCAATGAATTTAATCTGCGATAAGTTCCGGAAAGCTGCCTCTTGCAGTTCTTTTTACAAACAATTCTAAACAACTCTTCAACTTTGCTTCACAAAGCTTCACTAAAAATCTCGCGTCGAGAACTCACTTTAAAAGTTTCAAGAGTCACTCTCAGGACTCGTCTGAATTCTATAAGTTTCACAATTGTTCTCTCTAACTAACGGAGAACCAACTATTCGTTTTGCTCGCAATACTTCTTCTGACTTTTACAGGCTCTCCGGTACCCTCCAATTCCTTAACTTTCTTTACACTTAGTTTTAGTTAAGTCACGCTATTCACTATCAGTCCTGACATCCGCCTTAATCACCCGTCCGCACATGCCTAAGACTATATCCCTCCCCTGTCAACTCTGGCACGTGCCAACTATGGTTTGTTTTATCAATCTTTTCACGCTTATTAGATACCCGGTATGCAGTAGCTGTCGCAATTTGACCGAGCAAACAAATGTCATACGATACTAATCAACCAATTCCTGAACTCTCTCAACTTCAGCTTTCGAGTTCAACTCAACCTCCAAACCATGTTATGTTTACTCAGTCTTCACTCCCAAGGTCTTTATTTTAATTATCCCGTTAACGTTCCGGCCTCCCAAGGGTAGGGGGGGGGGGCTTTTTATGGGTAGCTAACTAATTTCAGGCATCTAAATTTTCTATCTGTACTCTATTCCAACCCCGACCTTCTAGCTATCAGGGGAACGTAGTCCGTCTATTAGGGGTCAAATTAAACCAAAAAGTCACATCCGAAAAGCCAAGTAAAGTCCCCGTCAGTTCATACTATTTAGGAAACTTAACTCTCATGCCGCCGTCTTATTACTATCAATTTCTTCTGGGACTACTTTTCTTTAGTCTAGTTGAAATGCTATTAATAGATCACTCGCCAAGCTAAATTGAACCCAATGTTTAGCAAGTCCACTTTGAATTAAATCCACTACTCCAAGGTTGCAATGTAAAAGCTATATCTCCATCAGCATCTGCTCTAGTTCCCAATATATAAGTTTTCTCCCCAATTTTTAGCAAGATGACCCATTCTCATTTCCAGGGGTTGGGCTGTGAAATACGCCACTTTCCGGTGTTAATCTCGGGGTTTTGCATGCAAGTTTGGGATCAAAACGCCCAAAGATCAACTTAAGATCATCCAGGGGTCAACCGGGGTCAAACTTCCATATTTGGGTTCAGAATCCCATGGGGGCCCTAACTAGCAAGTTTCATTCAAATCCCAATAATACTTCACAAGTTATACCATTATACTTCCGGGAAAGGGCTATTAACATCGGAAGGAGTCAATGGAGGGGTTTCAATCACTAGGGGTCTTTTTTCGGGGACCCTATCTTATTTCCATTGCCGCAATAAAACCGCTATGCCCTCGCTCATTATTTCGCGTAAATTGCCTACTTACGGTCTAAGGGGGTGTTTTTTCAAGTGCTAATAGCTTCCGGTCTAACCGCCGTTTTCGGTTCAAATTATAATACAAGATGTATCGTGCCACTACCTATCATCCCTTCAAGTTTCAGCTCCAAGTTTCACGCCAATGAATTAGAGCACCAGGGTGGTTCGGTACATCTCGAGCGAACGGCATCCTCGAGATTTTACTTAAAGTGGTTAAGAGCCCACTGTCGAGTCGTCAGCGGTGCTTGCAACGGTTGTAAAGTTCTTTTTCCGATAATGATCGACGACGGACTGATGAGGCACCTTAGTTCTAGCACCAGGGAAACGTTTTGCCGGAAGTTTAATCTCAGAATGGGCAATAACCTGTTACCAACGGAGGACAGCCCCACCATAAACTTAACAACACACGAACCGATCAGCCTTGAGTGTACCCGCCCAAATTCGAGATGTTTTCTGGATTGTATTCACTTTTGGCTGACAGGTAAACCTCATAAATCTACGCGGTTGCAAGCCGGGTTAACCAAACAGCAACGGTAACCGTCATCTTGTTACAACTCTTTTTATTTTCCCGTATCAATCCCGGCAATCCCTTCTAAACCGGGGCATTGTTGAAACTGATTTACACGTACTTGTCCAGCTGCTTGGGGTTCATTTTTACGAATACCGCGCTGAACAAAACCCCCAGATGGTTATATATAGCAGCAAATCACCGCGGCCAGAATGGCTCCGAAGCCATTTATTTGTATTATTGTAATCAAACCGAGGGACGTCAGCAGGGCGAAGGACATTCGGCTCTTATCACAGGAATGAGGCCAAGAGCTTCTTAGGTAAGCCTAGAATTTCATATTTTACAAAAAGGTTTTTTTTTTGATAAGTTTAAAGGAGCTTAACTCGTTTTCTAATTAAGTTAGATCATTTTGAGTAATTTTTTTACAAAGAAAAAAAACTAGTCTCATACGACTTGCTTATCATACGACAAAAAATGCTTATCATACGATTTGCATTTTATGAAAATGGTATGATAAGCAATTTTTTTCATAATTTCAATTTCAAAAAAAAATTTAGGCAAGTTCAGTTGAGCTTAAGTTGGCTTTCGATTAAATGAAATCATATTGATCATCAATCTTGTGTTTTTTTGAAAAAAAAACTCTTATCAAACGACTTCCAATTATGAAAACTGTATGACAAGCGTTTTTCCAAAGAAAAAAAAACTTCTTTAGAAAAAGTAAATTTATTTGAGTTTAGTTTGAATTTTTGTAGATTGGAAGCATTTGACTGTCAAAATTATAATATTTTTTTTTTTGAAAAAAGCTTTTTTTGTTGTTTTCATAAACGAAAACTCAATGATAACCTGTTTTACATAGAAAACAACATCTCAGTAATTACCAGCTTTTCATACAATTCTTTGTATGAAAAGCTTTTCATACAATTCCGGGTTGCTGAAAATTTGACTTATACTTCCTGTAGTTGTCAGAGTTTTTGATTAATGTTATTTATTTCTTTTGCTAGGCAAAATAAGTACCTTTTCAAATACAATTCTTAGTTCTAATTGAGGTCCTGTTTTTTAAAAGAAAGTGTTAGGAGCTAGTTTTTTTTGAAAACCTCGCTGTTTTATTTCCGTTGTTGTGTATGTTGCATCGTCTTGAGAGCGCAATAAATCTTGATGCAAGCAAATTTGTCTTTACCTAGCAAGTCTGCGCATGGCGCCAGGAACAAGAAATTTACGAGACTAGGAGATTCAAATACGATTCCGACTTTTTGAGCAAGTTCAATTAGAATTATTAATTAATTAGTGGTAGAAGATATTCATCGTACCATAAACCTTTAAAGTTATACAATCTCATTGAAATATTTAACAGGAAATACTTTGATTAGACATGCTTATAATTCCATTTTAGTCTTATTGAATTAATTTATAATTATTTAGAGGAACCAAAAGCGCATCTGCTCTAGATCAACGAGCTCCCAATAAAAAAATTCTCAGTGAAATCCATTAAACTTGATTCCAAACACAATTGAACGTACTGTTAAGGATATTTAAAAATATATATATTATTGTCGAATATAGTAATGTCCAATTTCGCTGGTCTGAAACCCTTTTTCTTAATTCTATCCTTTTTAGTTCGGGCTAAACAGCTAGTAGTTAATAGGTTTGGGCTGTTTCAAAAGCTTCCGGGAATTCAATTGTCAACGAAGTTCATACTTAGAACAACTTCAGGAGTTGATCTAACAAAATGCGTCAAAAGCTGTTATTTCACTAAAAAATGCGTAAGTATTGCTTATGGGAACCTTTTATGCGTTTTGTACGCCACCGACCCGAGAGCACAATTAGACGAAAGCTCGCTGATAAGAATAACGAATGATTCGCCTCTGATTATGTATGCGATATCGACCGACTTTGAAGTACCCTGTTATGGTGGCAACATAGCCGCGTATACCGACTCCGACTTGGAAAAATGTGGGTTCGATGAGAAAGTGATTGATTCAAACTGCACCGATTGGTCAAGTTGGAACTCGACTTTTGAATGGCCGTGCAGCGACAAGGCAAAAATTTTACGGTTTAAAACCCACGCGAGAAACTGCACAAGGCCTTTATTTGGCGGGCAAAAAGGAACGTGCCACGAGAAGTGGGAAAAAACTCCACGTCTACTATCCGACTCCGCTCTGAGCTTCGGAACAGCACGAGCAATTTGTTATGGTCCAGGCGAAACTGTATTCTCAGGTTTCTTCTGCTAAATTTCAATAACACCCTAAAATTCGTGCCTAACAGGTGGTTACAGGTTTTCTTTCTCTAAATCAGGGAGATTTTTTCATAAAGATTATTTTCAAAATTTTGGGTGTCCCAACATTGTAAAACGACCTAACTACGAAATTATTTTTGGCAGATTTTTTTCACCCAGCTTTGCTCAGGTGTTCACTGGTTCTACGAGGGTCGTTTTGGAGCGGAGTTCGACGGGATGTATGTTTGGACTGGTTTTCAACGTGTTGGACAGTCAGATGAGTATCGGGATGAAACAGATGAACAGTTTGTGCAAACAGGTTGTGCGGCAGTTTGGGCTGGTACCGAACCATCCGGAGCATCGGACGAAACACAAATTCTGTTCAGGTCCGTAAAAAAGTAGTCTAATTGCACTTTTTTCTGTGTAAATGTAATTGTGACTTTTAGGTAATAATATGTAATAATTTATATTGTATTAGTGTGGTAATGCAGCATCTGTAGTACACAACCTTGAGGACAGTTTGCTAGCTACTGCATCTGCAGTAACCATATGTGCTAACTATATCCATTACGCTATTATTATATAAGTGTGGTCAAGGCCATTTGATGTTGTTAAAACGTTAAGGTTGAATTGGTCAGAGTTTCATATCTCATGCTGAAAAACAGTAACCAATCTCAGCTTCTAACTTCATTAAAAGACAAGATCAAGAGCAGTAAATTTACAGCATCTCTCTTACTTTTATTCCTCAACACGCTACGCAGCTTAGGGATATCACATGGCGCAGCCAGCAGGATTTTTTGCTCAGGACAATAGAACGGACATGGGAATTCCCGTTTACTGGAGCACAGCGAACTCTGATCCACCTTGGAATTTTAAAGTATGGTTAGATCAGTTCCTGATGGCGGTAACTGTAAAAGAAAATGTCAACCCAGAAGTTATGCTGGAAGATCCTAAACCAGTGTTAGAGGAGCCGGAACCCCGTCCAGAAACACCCAGAGAGGGCGAATCTGATGTTGCAACAGCAGCTAGAGAAGCACGGGATAGACTATTAAGAGATCGAGTCGCAGCCGAGAATGAAGAGAGGAGAGAAAGAGGACCTAAAGTGGGTCACAATATTTACTACAACGAAGTTCAAAAGCGATTAGTATCCAGACTATTTCTTGCGTTTGGGACGGAAGGAAAGAAACGTTTTGTTCAAAAACATCCACATGTGGAGATCTCTAAATTGCAATTTAAAGAGATGGTTAGATTAGCAAAAGTAACCTTTGAAAAATGCCAGAGCCTTACTTACGAGCGGTACAAGTTATTCAATAGATCACAGGAAATGGGAGAATCTTTAGAATCATTTCATGCAGCACTAACTGCTCAAACAGCGAAGTCGGCATTGGACACTTTGGAAGATGAGTTAGTCAGAGATCTCTTTATTTCGAAAATGCGGAGTCCAGCATTACAGGACACGCTCACGTTCGAAACGTTACCTCCCGAAGAAGTAATAAAACGTGCCACAAAATTTGAGCAGAGTAAACAATCGACACAAGCGTTTCAGAAATCCACTCTGGGTACTGCGCAAGCAACAACCAAATCAGGGCCCCCAATTAAAATCAAACAAGAACCAATTCCGGTGGTAGGAAACAGGAATCAGAATACTAGAAAGGCCTATCGTGAAAGGAATAGACGAAAACAGCAGGAGGGAAGGGCGATATCGAACAATCAAAACGCAGATGAAAGAAACCATGCAACAGGTGTGGCAGACCATTTGTAGACGGTCACTTGAAAAATTGTGCAGCAATAGGAAAGCAATGTAAGAACTGCAATAAACCAAACCACTTTGCTCGAATGTGCCGGTCACAACAGGTCAGTGAAATAACTGAGAATACAGAGAGTTTTGAGGAAGAATGTAACTTGATTCAAACATTCAATTCGTGCGAAGAATTTGAGGTTATGGCAATTGAACAGAAAGACAGGCAGATAGAGATGATCAATCGATACACCGACGAGAAAATGAAAGAGAACAGTGGCAGTAATGGAGTAAACAAACTAGAAACAAAAAAGATTGACATACGGAAAGATTCATCATCGGGAAGGATGAAGTCACTGAAGGCTCTAATCCGAATTGATAATCAAATAATAAATATGACCGTGGACACCGGTAGCCCAATTTCATTTATAAATTGGACAGTGGCGAAACAGATTCTAGATTCATCAGGAAAAATACAATTTACTCCAGTTGAAAAATTGTACTTACCAGCACAATTCGTGGATTATAATAAAAAACCAATAGCAATATTGGGTGCGGTGAAGGCCAACATACGGTCCGCTGGCTGGGAAGTTCCAGAGGCCACTTTTCTAATAACTGAACGAAGGCGTATTTTGGGGTAAGACCTACAAAGTAAAGTGGGTATAACCACTACACAAAGACCCGCCCCAAAAATGAAATCTCGGTTCGACATAATGCTGTGCGAACAGTCGGAGCCGTGGAAAGAAAAATTCTACGAGGATTTTAAATCACTGTTTGATAGAAAAGGACGATCAGTACATCATGTCGTGAACACCTCTTTGCCCGATTCAAGAAAAAGGGAGGAGGATACCTATCCATATGCAAGATAAAGTCGAGAAGGAAATTGAAAAATAATTATTAGAAGGACATATTCAGAAGTTAGATAAGTGTACCAGTGATTGTTTTATAGCCCCTATTGTCATCACAGTGAAGAAAGACGAGTCAATTAAATTGGCTCTGGATGCAAAGCCCATCAACAGACAATTATATAAAAACAAATATCAGATGCCGAATGTGGAAGAACTATTAGATGGTGTTAGTCAGATAGTAACTGCACAAACAGCAGGTACCTTGTTTTTTACTGTGTTAGATTTGAAATATGCATATAGTCAGCTAAAGTTGACTCCACAAACTGCAAGACAGTGTAATTTCAACATCGTAGGGGGGAAAACTACGGGCACGTATAGATTTCTGTCGGGATTCTATGGGTTGGCTGATATGCCAGCCGAATTTCAAAAAGCAATGGATCGGCCGTTAAATCATTCTAAGAATACGTTTTGTTTCTTGGACGACATACTGATTGTCTCAAAAGGATCGGAGATAGAGCATGAAAAGCTAATTACTGACGTTCTAAGGAAAACTTATCGCTGAAGCTGTCAAAATGTGAGTTCTTCAAAACAAAAGTTAATTGGCTGGGACACAAACTTTCAGAAAGTGGAGTTACCCCGAAAATTACTAAAACGGAGGCTATTCTTAAGTTAGAGCATCCGAAGTTACTCAAACAACTTAGATCTTTTCTAGGTAGTATTAATCACCTTGCGAAGTTTATACCGAATGCAGCCAATTTGACAGACAAACTTAGACCACTATTGCGTGAGGAAAACAAAAAGAAAAAACTGAAAAACATTAAAATCCCAGCAAAAAAATTTGAATGGGGACCCGAACATAGTGAGGTGTTCGAGGAAATCAAAAAAGCGGTAGCAAACATTGCTAAACTGAATTATTATGACCCGAATAGAGATACTCGGGTCAAGTGTAATGCAAGCCATAGTGGACTAGGGGCATCCCTAGAGCAACAGACGGAAAAGAACGAATAGGTTCTAATTTCTTTCGCATCGCGTTACTTAAACAATCAAGAAAAAAAGTATTCTACTAATGAGCTTGAACTGCTAGCAGTGGTGTGGGCAGTGGATCGTTTCAAACATTACTTATTAGAAAAAGAGTTTGTAATAGTTACTGATCATAAGGCATTAACATCTGCTTTAGAAGAAAACAGGTCTAACAAAACATATCAATCCAGATTATTAAGGTGGGTGGACAGATTACTGCCTTATCAATTCAAAATTGTCCATATTCCGGGAAAGGATATGGGGATAGAAGACTATCTATCTAGAGAACCAACCGGAAAACCTTGGCCGGAAACAAAATTGGCTGAAAAATTTGTGGTCACTTCGATTGAGTGCTTTCATAGAGCACTCGACTGTTTATACAGTCGACTGAATGATTCTGATGTAACAATTCAGAGTGAAAAGGTTCTAGAATATTCTCACAAACAGAAAAGAGAAGATAACTTGCTAAAATCCAGGCGTGGTCGCCATAGCAACAAAACGGTCAAAAACCGAACAAAGCTCGACCGGAACGAGAACTGTGGCAATTCAGATTTTTTGACTAACAATAACGTGTTGAATCAGAAGAACACTCTTGTCAATTTCAATAGAGTAGTTCAGTCGGTTAATTTAGTCACAAACAGAAAAGTAAACTCAGAAAAAATGGAGGAAGGAAAGATTACGAAAAAGACACTGAGAATCGGAGACTGTAGGACACAGGAGGAGACCAATCAAGAACGGAAGACAGCTTTGACGAGGACAGCTGTGTTGCACGAGCAGTAATATGGGATCAAGACGCTGAAGAAACGAAAAACTTGCTATCTATTTGGGACCTAGTCAGCAAAGATCAACAGATGCCGGGAAACATCAAAGAACTAGAGACAATGACGCAGATGATCACGAGCAGCCCAAGAGGCTCACCAACGAAATCAATCATAGAAGTGGATCTAACAGCGGAGGATGACGATCTAGGTCCGGAAGTGAGCGAAGTACAACCTTCGAAGAGAATCAACGAACGGCAAACGCAATTGGAAAGCTCAGTGGCAGACAAGGGAGACATCGAAACCTTAGTTTATCGAAACTATTCGATAAAACGCTGTTAGCCGAACTCATTTCGGAGGATGTGTGGATGGACCGATTACGTCGCGTAACAGGTAGGAAGGATCGGGCAGGATTTGAGCTTATGGGCCCATACACAAACCCGCTGTGGAACCAACTCTCAGTAGTCGATGATTGCATTCTCGTAGACAATAGGATAGCAGTACCAGCTCAATTGCGTCAAGCAGTTTTGAAGCGCATTCATAGAGGACATCCGGGGCAGGAGGCAATGATTGACGTGTCAAATTATTTGTGGTGGCTCCACATTCACAAGGATATCGTAAACCTAGCTGAAGAGTGTAGAGAATGTACACGCTATGGTAAGAATGAAAAATATATTTTACCAAAAAAATCTTCTCAACCATTGCCACTGCTATCGCAGCCAGGGCAGGAAGTTCAGTTAGATTACGCAGGACCTTTAGAAGATTATAAAGGAAAGAAAATCTACCTGTTGATAGCGATTGATCGATTTTTGAAGTTCCCGTCGGTGAAAGTAACAAAATCAACGGGGGGAAAGTCCACTACAAAATTTCTAAGGTCGTACATAGATACACACGGTATACCAGAATCGATAAAAACCGGCCAATTTTCGGGATTCAAAGGAAAAGCCATGAAAAAATTCTGTCTCGAACATAATATAACACAAAAGTTCTGTCCGGTGGGCGATCATTGCGGGTGTGGCTTAGTCGAGAGAACAATTCAAACCATTAAAAGCCGCTTGGGGGTGATGTTACTGGAATAAAATGTAAAGTCAATTAAATTGTGTCTCAGTACGATCATTAGGGACATGCGGTGGATAGAACAGAAAACCATACAGAAATCACCGTTTGAAGCACACTTTGGTAGATTACCAAAAACGGAATTTAAAATTATACGAGATAAATTTGTAGATTTCTCTGATAATTTAGATAAGCAGCATCTGGAGAGGTCGGCCCTAACTGCAAGCCAACTCAAGAAGAGGATTGATCAATCTCGGGACTCACTAAAGATTGTCAAAAAAGGGCAGAAAAGCAGAGAGGTCAGCCCTTATTCAAACAAGCCAGTTTGACGACTCAGGAGAGGAACAGAGCACGAACTCTGCGGAACCTGTTTGAGGCGAATGCTGACTGGAACGCAGAGCGGCGTAGATATGACGGACCCAGCCTCTCGCAACTAGTAGATGCCACGAGTACAATCGACCCTGAGCTCGTAAGGAGCTACTCTACTCATGGGAAAAAGGTTTTGTCGAGGACAAACCAAAGGGGTCAGAGTGGAACAACCAAAACCTCAGTCGCAGAGACGAGACGAGAAAAAGTGGAGCGGCACTGACAAAGCCGTTCAAGGGAAAGGTCGCCTTTGATTCACCAAAGACAGTGACAACAGCTGCAGGAGCAGTATACAGGAAAAGTGATCTGGTGAAGTTACAAGGTTCACCTACGAAGTCACTCAAAGAGGGATCAAATCAAAAGGAGAAGGCTAAAAGTCCACTGGAGGAGCCAAAAAGCAAACACCAGAAGAAAGATGACGAGCTCTTGGAGGACACGATATCGGAAGAGGAGGACTGGAATATATCGAGTGAACAGACAAAAGACTTGTTTCAAAACAGCGAGACTGTCGTAACATCGCGTGACACACCGGTTGGTGGGGGACTTAACCTAACAATTAAGCGAGCAAAGCCTAACCTCGGGGGCCCAAAGACAATCGGACCAAAGACGCAAGAACAGGTGGCACTAAACCCGGTAGGGGAATCACGAGATAAAAGAGATCAAACACTTAAAAACAAGGGTAAATAAAAAAAGAAAGCTGGGGTAGCAGCAGAAGAAGTTACTCATCCAACAAAATCAGATGGGGATCAAGCTGATCGTGCAGGCAGTTCGGGCACCAAAAGTGGACATTCTAGGAAGCGCATAACAAGGGACACGTCACCAAGCTCAATCTTGAATGCGTTCCAGAAACAAGACATGGGAGACGAAGAATGGCAAAGCCTAGCCGATCAAGTGTTGACTAGAGGTCTGCAAAGAACAGCGGATGAGATTATTAAATCTAAGATGGAAGATCAAACTGAGACGACAGGCGAACAAGGATCTCCGTCAAGAATTTCGGACGACTCAGTGGTTGACGATCAAGGAGGTACGAATGTCAGGCGTAGTAAGCGAACTACGAAAAACCAGGGGCCTAAAAGATTGGGTAGCCCCGTAAAACATTCAATCAAATATATTAGCGCGGACGACGAGGCAGACGTTAACGAAATGGCTTTAGAGCAGTACCGATCCGGTCTGGCGAATGTGAAAACGAACAAAAACAACCCGATAGAGACCCGACTGAAGCTTTTAGAACGCCATTTATTTCGGAAGAAGTTTGGATATGCTGCCTTGGATACGACACAACCATGAAGCACGCAGTGGAAAGTGCCGTTAGAAATTAAGAAGAAAGAAACGGAAAAGAACAATTTATAGTTAAAATACTCAAAAACAGAACATTCATGGCACCACAAAAACTGAGCTGAAAACTCATAGTATTGTTATTTATAAAATTTTAAATGTATTAGATAAAAATTTATTTGGTCCCCGGGGGAATGTGGTATTGCAGCATCTGTAGTACACAACCTTGAGGACAGTTTGCTAGCTACTGCATCTGCAGTAACCATATGTGCTAACTATATCCATTACGCTCTTATTATATAAGTGTGGTCAAGGCCATTTGATGTTGTTAAAACGTTAAGGTTGAATTGGTCAGAGTTTCATATCTCATGCTGAAAAACAGTAACCAATCTCAGCTTCTAACTTCATTAAAAGACAAGATCAAGAACAGTAATTTTACAGCATCTCTCTTACTTTTATTCCTCAACACGCTACGCAGCTTAGGGATATCACAATTAGTATTAAGTAAATTTTGAAAATTTGGAATACTGTTATGTGCATTCAGAAGAAACTTTATCATAATGAACTGTAAAATTTTGTAGGAAAAGCAGGTAAAGAGCAAACTGGCGCTCAAAATTGACAGCTCAAAACTGACAGCTCTTTAAAGGGCAAGTTCTTTAACTCCACTGGTTGGCGAAAAAAATCAGGTAGTAAAAGCACACAATTGACGAGAACTAGAGAATTCAAAAAATACATTTCCAAAGAAAGGTTCAGCAGCATATATGTCGAAAACTGTTTTCCAGATAATCTGTTTTTGGCATGGAACTAAATTGAAAGCACAAATGCAAACCTTACCAACAGTAGCTTAACATACAAGACTATGAAGATTAAATTAAAGAATTGATTTCTATCCATTTTCAATGAAAATCCCTCTATGGCAACCTATGGAAAAACATCGTGGAAACAATTTAAAAGTATTTGAAGACACAATTGTTTTTGTTACAATATTATTTTGTAAAAATTTTCTTCTTGACTAGCTACATTTGCATCATGTTAACATTCATAATTTTGCAAATGAAGTGATCATTTTCTTTTTGATGATCACTTCCACAATTTCGATACTAAAGTGTTCACTTCCACTTGAAACACAAAAACACTGAAAGAACACAGAAAGCAAAGCAGTCTGTTTTTGAAAAAGGACACAATCAAAGGACCAAAGAGAAAAAAACCTGAGAAAAAAATCACAAAAAGTTTTAACACAAAATGAGACTCTGATCAAAGAGACGCTTAAAGTACACACTCCTCTGGCCTCGCCCACCTGAATGACTTCGCTCGAAGTGTATGTGCCCACCATGTGCTAAGATCCCAACCCTTAAAAATTACTAAGAGTAGCTCTAGTGTGAGGAACTCTCTAAAATAACCGAAACTAATGAAAACGCTTTTGCGAAAACAATTAACGAAAACTCATAACTAAAACTGAATTCACTAACAATTTGCAGATATAATTGTATACTATAAAAAGATTTCTTAGAGCAAAAGGAACGAGCAGCGAAGAGAGATGAAACTCGATGAAATTCGCACTCTGGAATGGCAAATACATTGGTTTGTTGCCGTAGTCACAACGCTCACAGGATTTAAAGTTCGGAGAAAGTATCGCAGCGAAGGTGTCCATCCAAATAGAACAAGTGCTAACTCAATTTTGAACTCAAACATACGAGCCCTAGTCACTTGGCGCTTCACACAGAAAAGTTAACCCCTATCTTGCTATTCGATGAGTAGTTGATAATGCCCGTAGTCTCGCTCTACTCAAAGAAATCTATGCGTCTCGATTAAATGCTGCAACCTTGACTCAATTCCTCAACTCAATCACGATGCACGAAACCCACTTCTGCAAAACGAGCAACTGCACTACTTCTCTCTCAATGAAGACAACTACATCACAACACAAGCAACTGTTTTTTTCTCTCTCTTCGTGCAACCACTGCTTCGAAAAGAATCTGCTCCAAAGAGAATTCAAGAAATTTTTCCATCCATCCTTCACAAGAATAAACTAAAGCCTTTAAAACTTTCTAAACTTTCTACCCCGGATGTGTGGAATCAGTTCAAAACAAGTATTTATTATATCCGATTATATTCATGATAACTTTCTCTGTAGAATACTTAGAACTAATCAATCATGATCCATAACTAACACTTACAATAATTTGTAAGGCTGAAACTGTTTATTCAAGATAAAAAAATAAAAACAAGTAAAAAGAGGTACTTGTGCTTTTCGCTGCCTGGTGATTATTCTTCAAAAACATATTTTAACGACTTCACGTTTATCTCTAAACTACCTAGCACAGTTCAAAAACAATCAGGATGAAAACTGTTGTACGATAAAAAAACATTATGTCAATATCCATAGTAAATCTATATATCAATAATTAAAAATTGATGAGAGTTTGTTTTTTAACAATTTAAACTTTTTTATCACATAATTGTATGTTACCGGATTCCGCTAAAATTTGCAGATTGTGCCTAAAGTTTTGCATTTTGGATAAACAGGCTGATTCCAGTACAGCGCACGTTTACTACAAACATGTATTTTTGTTGCAAATTGAGCAATTTCGATAAAATTTTATTTTTCGCCTACTTATAAAATAGGCTAATTTCAAACTGGTGAAAATATAAAATATCAGTAATCAGATTTTGAAATAGCAATTATTTAATCAATATGCTTGTTCATGGGTATGCTAATTGACACACATGCTAATATGCGGGCCGCTGTAAATCGTATTGATAATAAGTTACGCTCATTTTTAGCTTTAATATGAGTACGAGCGATGGCCTGTGCGATAAGAGTGCGGGGCAAGAAGAAGCACGAGTTGCTTGTGATCAATGGAAACTTGAAGAAACCTTGACATGTGGAAGTGATTACTTCTCATTGATATAAAAAGGAGAGAAAACTTTGAGATGACTGAGAACAATCTTTGGCAGAAAATATTTCGAGATTTTTTAAAATTGATATTTATTATCAGAATTTCTATAGTTTGATGATTTCTCCATTTCGAATCCCTCAGAATTGAAAAGAAGGAGCAATTTTTTAGTTTTAAACCAGATCGTGTAAAAGTTTCGTTCGAAAAATCTATCTTTTGCATGCAACAGTGTGTCAGTCAGCTCCATTTAAAAAAAAAAATTCTTACGCTGTAAGGGAGTTCAATTTTTATCAGCATTTTCCGTCAAAAATTTAGTCTAATCCCTGCCCTCAAATATTCTCGCCTTTATAATAAATCCAAAATCAGGTTAGATTTACTTTTCGTCAAACAAAATGAAAAATTTGTAAATCAGATGAAATTTGAGTGAAGAGGCGCCGCACCATCAAATGCGTTTTATAAGATTTTCAAAAACATTAAAAAAACGGTAGAATTTGATTAAAATCGCATAATTTGACAGAACAATTATAAAATTATCAAATAAATTTATAAAGTTTTGGGCTAATCTCGATTGTGAGGTTAGCCCAGAAAACCAATCTTCCCATTTAACGTGTTAGAAAGTATTATTTATAAGAATATAAAACCAAATGTTTTATCAAGGATAGCCCGTAACTGTGCGTAAATCACAGAATAATCTGACCGTACGGACTCTTTAAAAAACAAAAAAAAAGTTCTTCTTTTTTTTCAAATTACTGTAGTTTTTTTGTGCGTGGTGTGATCAAACGGTTCTGAGTTGATGAAAACTTCGAACTTCGCGTTTTCGACAGTCTTAGCAAATAAGTAAATTAGAAAATAGTGTTGCCAAAAAAAACACAGGAAAAGACCTAATATTTTTCTTTTTTTCGGCGGGAATACAAAAATTTTCCCCGCAGTCAGAACAATGAGAGCATTTTTGTCAAGAAGCTTTATCTAAAATTTATAGATTTTCAGTTTTTTGATTTCTTGGCCGGTATAAATTCGTTTGTTGCTGTGCATCATTTTGCAAAACTCAACTGAATAAACCTGCAGGTTGTTTTATTTTTTTTACAAATCAGTTATTAGGTAGGCACATGTTAAACAGTACACATGTTAAGTAGGTATTTGGAATCTCTGAAGTTACCCCCTCCACTATTTTTGTAACTGATTGACCGACCGAATAGGTGACTTGGCTTCAAATTGACTTGTCTTAATGTAAAAGGTATTTGTATTTTTGCTTGCACTAACTTTTTGACTGAAAAAAGAAAAAAATTTGACCTTTACCATTGCTTGCAATTATTTTTTTGATTTAAGCTTACTTCTTTCGTAAAAGCTACTTCTTTTGAAAAGGGCGTGAAAACTGTATACTTTGATCCAAACATTGACTAAACAATTTCTCGCATGGTTCATATCAGTTACCAAGCTTCCGTTTAGATGAAATTTCTGTGTATGTCATTCTGCGTGCATTTTTCAGAAAAAAAGTGCGTTGGCACATTTTCAGCCCTTAAAAAATAATGGCTATTAAATTTGAAAAAAGGGGTAGAGATCTTTTTAGAAATGCAAATCATTACTCTCTCATTTAAAATAGTATCGCAAATGATTATGCTCCTGTTAGCAAACCGATAATTTGAGTGATGGCTACAAAATGAGATCAAGATAGATATTTAAAACTGATTTAAGACGGATATAGGAATGGTATTAATTTCTAGTTTAAAAAAATAGAAAGTAACAAGATTCTCTTCTAAGAAACTTTACTAGATTTTCAAACTAAACTAAGACTAGTTTAAAAGAAGGTTAGATTAAAAAGCTAAATCAGGACCAGTTTAAAACTCCAAATTCGAGTTGAATTAAGTGTAGTAGTTACAACGAACAATGCCCGAAATCAAAAAATCCAAAAGGCGACGCGCTTTTGGCAAGCACATTTTAATGAGTTTCAGAAAAAAAATTAAACTTCAAGATTAAGGCAGACTTTTTACAATCCCATTGAAAACTTTTAGGGAAGCTAGGCTAAACATGATGGTTCAAATGCTGAAATGATAGATAAACTATGGTCTCACTTAGGAAAAGCACCCAATGGTCGGCAAAAGGGTAGCACCAGATTTTTTGGTGTGACAAAAAAGGTTTAGCAACAAAAATGGTTGGTTGTGATTTTTTCTAACACCTTGTGAGACAAAATTCAAAATCAACTCTTAATTGAAAATAATTTAACTAACTAGCTAATTAGTATTGTAATTAGTTTAGTATTGCAAACACGCATTAGTTTCTGCTGCGGTAAGCAGAAAAGATGATATTGAGTTTTATCGAAAAATTAAATTTTGATGCTCCCCTCCAAGTCTAGCTTAGTTTTTTAGTTTCTTGCATTTTTTGAAGCGGCATTGTGTTTGGCTGCCTAAGGCGCGGTCCAATGTCTTAACTCCAATGGAGTCACAGAGCGTTCAAATGATCCACTATTTCGATGATTGAAGTCCCCATCATCCACTCCGGTATCGGCAAATCCTTTGGGCTGCCTTTTGTGTTGTATTTTTTTTCTTTCACCACTTGGTTAAACTTGACCGTTTTCGAAAATGTGACTGGAGAGTCTATCGTTAAGGACTTCAATTTTACCAGTTTCCACTTCTTGGACCAATCTGGTGCTATCCGGGGTCGAAGATCTCACTGATATAAGGTCTACGCAGGTGAATGGTGGGTTCTTGACTTTTTTGGTCATTGCATCCAAGCTGAATCAGATCCCTCTATCAAATTAGTGAACACTCTTTTACCGAGCAACGATTGCGGTTGTCTACATCTTAGCGATCTGGTTTTGTGTCTGATATGAGGGTCTTAGAACTTTTTGAGCGTTGGTGACTTTATACGTGAGGATGCCTAACGCTCGGCCATTCAGAACGGCTTTCCTGTCTAGTAATTTTGCATAAGCTGAGGTTGTGTATTAGAATGATCGTCATGGGCTTCCTCGCTGTTTCAGTCTTTGAGTAAAAGTCGGTCCGGTTGTGATAGTGTGGTCTTCAAGTCCCTTGGTTGCGTTGTTTGATTTCTCCTGCTCGGGGCTATCTGGGGAAACTATTGGTGGAATCAAGAGTGTCTCTTGAGTTGAGCAACTTGCAATTTGTGGCGTGTTCAGGGCTGTTTGTTTGACTCGATCTGCACCCCTCTTTTTGATACCGGTCTGCGGTTTTACTCTCGAAATGACATGATCCCCTTGGATAGCTCTGCAGGTTTCTTTGTTGCCTGCGAAGATTTTGTCGTAATATCACGTTTCAGGTTTTTAAGCAGGATAAAATCACTTCCCTTGCCATCTGACACTGTCACGGTCGACATATCAACAACTCGTTGAGTCGTGTCTGTTTCTTCCTTGTTTTGAGTTGATCGGGATTGAGCCGGTGTGACAAATACTCTTAATAATCCTAGTGGGGCACGTAGCGACTTCCTCTGTTCTCCTCCTTTCTCCCTCAACAGCTTTTCCCTAAAGCTGTTCAAGGCAGCGCTTCTCCTGTCGGTATCTATCGAGCTGCTCAAACATAACTTGTAAGTGTCTTTTCTTTTGGGTTGTCTTCGAGCTCTTGAAGCCCACGTTTCGTCCCAGCTTTATGACGACAGGTCTAGAGCACTTGGTCGCTTAGAGTTCATTGAGTTGATTCTTTTAGCGTGCTCTTGTTTTTTCCAACTATTTGGGTCTTTTCACTACCAAATCACATTTACAGATTGGTTTGCCGCTTTAAAGTGTTACAGTATGGTTCGATTCACATAACTTTTCCTTTAAGTTGTCTGTAGTTTGGTTATTCCTTTTTCCCTGAGCTTTTCGATATCAAATGGGCTTAACCGAAGGCGCATTTAAGATTTGATTTTTCATTCCCAGATCTTTTTGCTTCTGAGTACTAGTGAGGACACTAATCGGAAACCCAGAATTGCTCAGCACGTATTTTGATGCATTGGCAACGTCCTCTAATGAAGATGATTCATCGTCCAGGTGTCCGTTTTCTGGATCGTCCCAGTCATGCTGTCTCTCAAGGCACATTAGTTTCCTTCCTTATCTATACATAACCGTGACTTAATCGAGTTTAAGTTAAATGAAGATGCATTTTTTCAAATTTGTGCCATATTGTGATTAGTGAGCTACGGAAGATGAGCAATTAAGTAATTGCTGAGTTACTGTTCTCGAACAATTTATAATATTGAAAGGGCTATATCCAGAGGTTGTTTTTTTTTCTAGTGGCCTAACATTTCATCCTTCTTTGATGGTTCTAATTAGTCGTTCGACTAGACTTATTGCTCTGTGATCACCCACTGGGCTGGAAATAAAACGTTTATCTTTTTATTTTGGCAAAACTTGACGACTTCTTTCGAAATGAAATCCTACACTTGTTCTATCCCAATTGTTCTAGATTTTTCGTGAAATGCTATCTAGCTTCTTAGAAAACTTATAAAAAGTTTTTATGATGTGCTGGACGTTACTAGAGCTGAGGGAAACTTGAAAAATCTATCTGCACTTACCAAAAGGTGTTTTTTTGTTCCCCAAGTTAGAGGGACGGGGGCGGCGAAATCTATTTTTTTCGTGTTTCGGTTCATTGACAAACGGGAGTTTTACCAGGTCTCCCTGCTTGAAGAGAGATTTTAGTTTTTCACCTGCTTTGACGCATTCTATACAAAATTCACTGTGTACCTGAATCACTATAGATTTTTGACCACCATATAAACAGCATCGCCAGCTTTTTCATTGCAAACTATCCTGGCTGAGCTTCGTGAAAGATATCAAGCATTTTGGTCCTCAGGCATGATGTTATGATCAATCTCCCATCAGAGAACAGGCATTCACCATAGACATGTAAGGTATGGTTTGTGAAAATTACCCAAAACAGTATAGCGTTTTCACGGTCTTCATCGATAGATATAACAAATGTTCTGTGGGATTGAATCCTATTTTAAAAGGAGGGCAAAAACTTTAGTGTAGAAAGTTTTGTGCCTTGCGAAAGGCATAGTTTTTTTATTTTTTACTTCAGAGCTTTGAGCTTGATCTCTATAGAACATATGGTCATTTCTAAAAGTTTGCTTTTACGGTGTACAACAATTGGGGATTTTTTTTCAGGCAAATTATCTGATTCGGCTGGAAATTGTTCAATTGATTCGAT